CTCTTAAGGTTATAATTTTTAATTTTTAAATTAAAATATTTTTAACTTGATTTTTATTAGATATTTTTAACTTGATAATTATTTATTTTGAGCCTTAAAACTATTTAAATTACACTTATTACATCAACAATTAAAAAAACCTTTGACCAGATTTCAAAAGTTGAAGGATTAATATAAAATAAATTAAAGAATAAGGAATATCTTATTTAAAATTAAGGTTTTGATATTAAAAAAATGATTCTAGTAAAAACATATTTAAAAAAATCAAAGATGGATGAAAATGTAATTGGCATTTGGAAATTCCTGAAAACTCTATTAAAAAATCCAATTAACATTCAAAGTAATTGTCATTAAGTTAAAAGTATCAAACCCTTAATTTTAATATTGTTATTTTTTCTGGCCCAAAAATTTTAATATTATTTATTTGAAAGTATAGTGTGAATGATGATAAAATTCTTAAAAATTTTACTATTGGTCATGCTTTGATTTCAACATTTGTTATTCAATCTTTGCACACTTCACAGCTTAAAGATTTTTTTTTTGCTTTTAAAAAAACTTATATAATTAACTTTATATATTTAATATATTTATTTTTAATTAAATTAAGACATGTAGATATTTTATATATTATTTATTTTATAATAAATTATTATTATTAATTTTATTAACATATTAAGATTCACTTATCATGATTTAATAAAATATAAATATATTAAATATATAAAGTTAAGTATATAAATTTTATGATCATTTTGATTTTCCATCCAAGCTTTTTCGGCAGTGGGACCAATGCCATAACAAATTAAACTGAATTCTTTCCAAAGTACGTTGTGCAGTATTTTTTAAGTGAAAAATTTAATATTTTATATATTCAAAAGTTATATTCCTGTTAAACAATGAACAGAAATTAATTATTTAGTTAGTTTGACTCATTTAAAATTAAATTTTTAAGTTTTAATACAGAGTAATTCAATTTATATGATTTTGACTCTGTTAAAACCAGTCTTTAACTATGGACTTAATATAACTCAATTTTTATAATTTTAATTCAAGTAAAACACAAACCTTAATTTGATGCAATTTTATCTGTATAATTTTAACTATTTTAACTATTGGTATCTATTAATGAAGTCAAATCAGTTTATTTTAAAATTTTAAATTTAAATATTTAAATATGCAGTTGTATTAAATAAAAATGATAAAGGAATTTTTCAAATATTTAAAAAATTATTGTTGATAATAATAATTCCACATAACGTGGGGTTTAGATTAGTTTAAATAAGTGATGATACTGGCAATGCCTCAAACTTTCCGGAACATCAGATAATAGATTCAATAAAAACTATTGGTCTTTATATTTTAAAACATAAAATTAAAAAAAATAATCATTATTTCTTAAAGTCTGAAGAGTAATGTTTTATATACATAAACTATAGAAATTTTACTAAATTAAAGTTTCAGCACTAGTTTTTAACTAAAATCAACATTATAGATTTTTAGTTGTAACAGCTTAAAGTTGAAAGAGTTGAGTTATAATTGAACACCATTAAATAATTAATTTTCTCAGAAATAAATAAAATATTAAAGTAAAATTAAGTTAAAATAAAATTAAAATTAAAATAATAATAATAACTACAAGTTTCACTTTATTTTTTTCGACTTTGGCTTTTTGCCTCCTGAAGAGGGAGTTCCGCCTTGCTTGTTTGTCGCAGGGTCTTCCGCTTTCTCTCGCCAGTCCCTCCTTTGTCTTTGCCTTTACCTCAGTGGAGAAGCTCGTGGTTCGCCCTGAATTGAGCAGATATGGTGAGAAAACATGGCTGGCAACTGCCAGCTCATACATTTCAGGTAAATGCGAGTCCTCATGTTCTCTACTCTGAGTCTTACTTTTTTTTCCCCTTCTTTTTTTCTATTTTTGTCCTGAAATTTGTTTTCTTGAGCGATCTTTTACTAGGGTTGTTAGAATAAGTGATTTAGTGTTATGGCTGTGCATTTCATTTGTCTGTATAGGTTAATTCTTGGAATTTGGTATTCTGTCCTGTGAGTATTATACTTTAAATAAAGGTATCTCGTTCTTGTTCATGCACCGTGGTTAAGTTACTAATTCTGTAACTAATCGCTAAGAAAGGTCAAATTTTTGAACTCTGAGTATAATGTAGATTTGTAGAGGAATTTTGTTATAAATTTGCATGCCCAGCCCTTGTTTTAATCACGCTAAGATTATTTGTATTTCATGAAACGTTTTGTTATTTGGCTCTTTTTATGGAGGCATTTTTGTTTTCGTATATCTGAAAATTTTCTAATGTTTGTCTCGCGCTTTTCCCAAAATTGTCTTGGGAAATTGGTTTTCTGCATTGTTGGTGATTCGCACGTTTATTTCTGCTTCCGTTAGTGTTTTTCTTCGAGAGGAATGAGTGGGGTTTTAAAGCTTGTTTAACTAAAATCATTCTACTCCTTTGCGTAAAGTTGATCCGAGGCGTAGCGGGAGAGTAGAGGATCCGTGAAATTTCCTTAACTTGCTTTGTCCCCTCCTCTTTCCCAATGAAACAATCTTCACCAAATTCATAGATCCCCTACTTCAGAGGATTGTTTTCGGGTGATAGTGTACTTTTTCTTCCTCTTAACCTCTTTTCACAAGATGTGAAGAAAATAACTGTTTCTACCATCTTGCTCATGTGTAAATTGTAACGTGTCTCTGGCATGACAAGTTATTGCCCCTCCTTTTTTATCTGAGATCTAAGGTCCTACATATGACTTAACTGAAGGGATTCTGATTATCTTCCCAAGCTTTTCTGAGGCAGATGAATTGTCTATGTTTTCTTGGGATTTCAAGCAGTCAACACAATTGATACCTTTTTGTGTTCTCAGCAATATATTTTTCCTGTTGAGTTATCTTCTGAAGATAAACAAGCAATTAATATTAAATTATTTTAAGGTAAAATTAAGTAGGCCTTTGTTGTCCTTTTCTCTTTCTTGTGATACTGAGTAATGAACCAAACAAACATTTCTTGGCTAAAATTTATAATGAGTTGGAGTATAACACAGTTCCCTTCTGTTTTGAAAGTATTCAGTTATGAATACTGATGAATCATAAGGATAGAGACAGTGATTAAACCACAGGGGGAAACTCCTTCGTTTGTTTTGCTTCAGGGGTAAGAGGTAAGATGATGCTGAACAGAAAGGATGCTAGTGTCTTAGTGTAATAATTTTAGTGGGCCTAGGCCCAAGCTCCTAATAACATAGTTCAGTATTAAGCTGTTACACTTATCCTCTAAGCATTAGAGTTCAGAATATCAAATAGAACTTCAGGCTTCAATGCATTTTGGAAATTGGCAGAGAATTCTTGTCTCATGAATAGCATAGGCTATGGTGAGTTGGAAATTAGAAGTTACCATTCTTATTATCTGCAGTTTGTCTTGTCAATTTTGGGCTATAGGACTAGAACACTTTGGCTAAGGAGTGCATTCCTTACCCAACGTTCGTTGGCATGGTGGTTCAACGCCTCACCCCTTAACCAAGTGGTTGAGCATTCGATCCTTGGGAATGGAAAACTTTACCTTTAAGTGGCCGACCCGATGCGGGGGATTAGGTGATCTGTGCCTAACCTTTCTTAACCCAAAAAAAAAAAGGAGTGCATTACTTGAAGAAAGGGTTGAAGGTTGTGGAAGATGGGATAGTTAAATGTAATGGGATATGTTAATAACTAAGGGCCTGTTTGGATATCCGTTAGGAAAAATTGATTAATATGATTAATTTTGAATATATTTGGTTATGTTTTCCTAAAAATACCCTTTATACATGTCAAAATCAAGAATGAATATTTTTCTAAAAATAGCCAAACACCCCTATACATATCAAAATCAATTATGAACTCAAAACTATGGTTATCTTATAAGTCACTATTACTAATTTGTTAATTCAGCTTTCCAATTATGCTTCCCTAAAAATTTATCCAAAAATCATATAAACTCTATTTTACAAATCATATTTTTGGGTTTCTAATTGATTTTGGCTTGCAGACTTCCATGTACAATCTGCATATCCAGTGAAAAGAAAATTATCTATTTCTTAAATCTCAACTAAGAAAAAGAGTTGAGCAGGTTTTCCCAGCTGGTGGACAGTGTTTTGCTTTCCTTTCCTTTCTTTCTTTATTTCTTTTTGTTATATTAAGTTTCTGGGTTTAGGGCAAATAAGGTGCATAAACTTCTTTTGCACATCTAGTTTTCATAGGATTGGGATGCCTTTGGTTGGAATGCAACAGAAATTTTTTTAATAATGTTTGTTTCCACTCAGCTTTGGGAGAGGATTGACCTCCAGCTTATGTTGTTTTGTACTTTTGTTTGAAGCAATGATGTAAAAGGCGCTCGCCTCAGCGCCTAAGGCGCCTGGGCGAGGCGCTGAACTTGGCCATCGCCTCTCAAGTGAAGAGAGGCGATGGGTTTCCTCAGGCGCTCGCCTTTGAGCGCCTTGTGCGCCTCGCATATCCTAAAGGCGCGCGACTGTCAGCGCCTGGCAGCAGTGAAGATGAGAAGATTAGAAGAGAAGACAAAGACGTAAGATTTCAGAAGAGAAGACGATAAAGGAAGATGAAGGAGTGAAGAATGCTGACTGGGTGTGAAAGAACCGAAAAGAAGAGTAGGAGTTGGTTCTTGTTCGGCTGCCGGTGTCGACTGGGTATGCAAGAATCAGAGACGAGAACTCGTCTGCACTCCACCGACTGTATCTCCACCAAAAAGAAGAGCAGGAGTTGGGTACGACCGTATCGTGCGAGTATGCTAGCTGGCCATAAGTTCAGCATCGTGGACTGAATATCATCCATTAGAATATAATTTTTTTTAACCAAAATCCATTAAAATATGATAAAAAAATATAGTAAATAATTATAAAAAATTTAACAAATCCTATCCTATCTTGTGAGAGAAACGTATAACATATAATAAATTAGGAAAGATTTAAATTTTAAATAAAAGATAATAAAAAATATTATATATAGAAAAAGATTTTAATTAATTATAAAAAATTATCTTTGATTTAAATTTTAAATATGATTGAGATAATTATAAAAGATTTAACAAATCCTATCCTATCTTGTGGGAGAAACATATAACATATAATAAATTAGGGAAGATTTGAATTTTAAATAAAAGATAATGAAAAATATTATATATAGAAAAAGATTTTAATTAATTATAAGAAATTATCTTTGATTTAAATTTTAAATATGATTGAGAAAATTTTGCTATCTGAAGGAAAATTTTTAGGAAAGTTTAAGACTTTAAAATCCCTCCCAATGTATATTTTTTAAGATATAAAAAGAAAACCTATTACTGTTCTTTGGTATTGGCATCAGTGTGTCTCGAGGCTTAGAGCAAGTGAGCAATATCTCCAAGGATCACGTCTTGCACGTCTTGCACATCTTGCACTCTAACAATCAGGTTCTAACTTCTAAGTTTCAAAGTTCAAACATCATATTATTTTCTATTTTTCTTATTTGATTTGCTTGATTTTAGGCCTTTAGCACTACAACACACAGAACAATTATTCAAAAAACAAACCTTTAATTTTTCACTCTCTTTTTTGGTTTTTCCTGGTATTTTTCCCCAGTTTTTAGTGCTTCCATGGCTGAAAGTAGTGGTCAAGTTCAAAACAAGCAACAAGAACAAAATAAGAGAAAAGACCCTGGATGGAAATATAATTTCTTGAGTGACCCAAATGACACCAATACTGTAACTTGTTCCTTTTGTAACAAATCTACAAAAGGAGGGATTCATAGAGCTAAGTTGCATCAAGTTGGAGGTAATAGGAATGCTGCTAAATGTTTGAAGTGTCCTGATAATGTGAGGAAAGAGTTGCAAGATTACATGGACAAAAAAAAGGTAGAAAAAGAGACATATGATAATCCAATTATAAATGTTGTGGATATAAGTATGCATGGTGAAGAAGAGGAGGAGGAGGAGGAGTTGTATGGAAAGAAAGGAAAAAATGTTATGCTTACATCAAAGAAGCCTAGACAAAAAGGTTCCATGGATTCTTTTATGAGGAAACCAGAGCAAGTTATTCAATTACGAAAACAAGGAAAGTTGCGAGATGGAAATATAACTGATAAATTTGATAAGGAGAGAAGAGCTATGGTTTGTCAATACATTGGTCGATTTTTCTACCAAGCTGGCATTCCATTTAATGTTGCTAACATGGATTCCTTTAAAATTATGATTGAAGCTATTGGACAATATGGTCTAAATCTAAAACCCCCAAGTTACTATGAGTTGAGGGTGCCAATTTTGAAGAAAGAAGTTGAACTTACAAATGATATGATGAAAAATCATAGAGATATGTGGAAAAGAAAAGGCTGTTCCATTATGCTTGATGGGTGGACTAGCCGAACAAATAGAAGCTTGATAAATTTTTTAGTGAATTGCCCAGTTGGCACAATGTTTATAAAATCTGTTGATGCATCATCATATGTTAAAACAGCAGAAAGATTGTTCAATTTGATTGATGATTTTGTTGACCATGTTGGGGAAGAGAATATTGTTCAAATAGTGACGGATAATGGGTCTAACTTTAAAGCTGCTGGTAAATTATTAGAAATGAAAAGGTTGAATCTTTTTTGGACACCATGTGCAGCACATTGTGTAGATCTTATATTAGAAGACATTGGAAAAATTTCTAGGGTATCAAAGACTTTGGCAAGAGCAATCAATTTGACAGGGTATATATATAACCACGTAGGACTTCTAAATATGATGAGAGAGTTCACTAAGCAAAAGGAGTTGGTGAGGCCTGGCAAAACTAGATTCTGTACTTCATATCTTACTCTTAAAAGCATTCATCAACAGAAAACTGCATTGAGGACTATGTTTACTTCAGAGAAGTGGGAATCAAGTAAGTGGTCAAGAGAACCTAAAGGAAAGTGTGCTTATGCCTTCTTTTTGGAATACTGTTTCTTATATATTAAAAGTTATGGGACCTCTTGTTCGAGTGCTAAGACTTGTAGATAATGAAAAAAAACCAGCCATGGGTTATATATATGAAGCAATGGATAGAGCCAAAGAGGCAATTCAAAAGGCATTTGATAATAATGAAGATAAGTATAGAGAGATTTTTCATATTATTGATGAAAGGTGGAATTGCCAACTTCATCAACCTCTACATGCTGCAGCTCATCTCCTAAATCCAGAATATTATTATGACAACCCAGATATAGAGTTTGATGAAGAAATCACTAGGGGCCTAATATCTTGCATAGGGAGACTTGTGAAAGACCCAACCGCCCAAGAGAAGATCATGAATGAATTGACAATATATAAAAGAGCAGAGGGACTTTTTGGGGTTGATTTGGCCATTAGAACAAGGAAAACAAGAGCTCCAGGTAGATTATAATCACACATTAGTTATTTAATAGTCCTAGTTTTACTAATTTAGTTAAAATGTTAAATAATTATGTATTATTTTTATGACTTTGTAGCGGAATGGTGGGCTTCTTATGGAAGCTCTAGCCCTAATTTACAACATTTGGCAATCAGAATACTAAGCCTTACTTGTAGTGCATCAGGCTGTGAACGTAATTGGAGTGTGTTTGAACAGGTTAAATTTAAATATTTCAATTTTTTTAAAATAGGTCAATGCTATGTTTTATCATATCTTCACTTCATATTAAGATAATTAATTATTATATATGATTTTTCCACTTAGATTCATACAAAAAAGCGGAACAAGCTTGCTCAAGATAGACTCAATGATTTGGTCTTTGTGAAATACAATCAAGCACTGAAAAATAGATATGATAGGCAAGATGTAGATCCCATTTCCTTGGCGGATATTGATGAAAGTAATGAATGGCTACTTGGTAGTATGATGGATGTCGATGAGGACGCAGCAGATGAGCGTGTTTTTGGTGATGATGAGAATGAAGAGTTAACATGGGGGGCTGTTGCATCAGCAGCAGGTGTTGGAGAACCAATTAAACAAACAAGAAGCCAAAGCCAAGCTAAAGGAAAAAAAGCTAGCTCATCTAGAGCTAAAGGAAAACAACCGATTACCAACATTGAGGAACTTGCAAATTTTGATTCAGATGAGTTAGAGGAAGACGATGAAAGATATAAATCCAACAATGAAGGAGGAGAAAGTCCTGAGCTTGCCACATCTGAATCTGATTCAGATTTCTAGTTTGATTTTTTTATAGGCCTCAATATTGTTTTTTCATATTTTAAAGACATTTTATGCACTTGATTGATTATTGGAATAGTTTATATTATTTTGTTGTAATTTTGTAGAAGTTTATGATTGAAGTAGATTTATATTTATCACTTTATCTATGGTTTGTTGTCTATAATCTATGTATTATGCATTTTATCTATAGTAGCGCCTTGCTTCACTCAGGCGTGCGCCTTTGTAGCGCCTTGCGCCTAAGGCGTTTTACCAACTTTGTGCCTTGAGTGCGCCTTTCGCCTTTAACAACACTGGTTTGAAGGAGTGGAAGGGGGTGGCCATCTCGGATTTTCATTGTTATTGGAAATCACTTTTGAGTTGTCTTAGGATCTATTTGGTCTCTGTTTTCAAAAACTGTTTTCTGTTTTTAAAAAAAAAATTAAAAAACTCATTTGGATAAGTGTTTCAACTTTAATTGTTTTGAAAACTATTCTTATTTAACACCAAAAAAAAAAGGAAACTTCTTAAAGTTATTTTTATTTCATTTTATTTGTTTTCAAAACACATTATATTTGATTATTAAGAAATATAGTTAGCTTGATCAATTTCTATCATAAATCACCACTATTACCCACTAGCACTAGTAGACTATTTTTTAATTCTAAAACTATTTTTAAATTAATATAACCATGTGGATTTTTATTTTGTTTTGTTTTTAAAATTTTTTTGAAAAATATATTACAAAAAATTTTTGAAAAATAAAAATGGAAACAGAAGCCAAACAAGCCTGTAATTACTGTTTGTGTATTGCTCTCTCTTCTTATTAACAAAGTTTCTATTTTATCCAAAAAAAAGAAAAGAAAAGAAAAGAAAAACAAAGCAAAGGAAATAATGTGCTACTTACTTATGATAAATAAAATGTATCATTTTCCCAGTAACATGCCAAACTTGTTGTCCCTAGTGGTCCGATTGGTATATTTGTGGTTTAGCATTTTGATTAAATTGACTTCTTTTTCTCAGAATTACTTGTAATTTATCACTTGCAGGCATATCAACTTATTTTTCTTAAATTGTTGGCTGTAAATAGGTTGTGGCTATCACTGTATTCTGCTTCTTGGTGGTTGCTTTCTATGCTTTCTTTGCTCCCTTCGTTGGAGGTCATCTTTGGGAGTACATCTTCATTGGTGTCTACTCTCCAGTGGTATGTGAGTTAACTTTATTTTTTAATACCAAACTTTAATTATATTGACTTATCAATTTTTTTAGTTATATTGAGTAATATAATTTTAACAAATATGGAGAGTGATCCTGGCTCATGGCTTTCTGAAGCATGAGAGGAAGGGCCTTTTAGTTAATATTTTTGGCTACTGAGGTAAATTGATTTCGTCTGTTCAGTTATCTGGCCAACGGCTAATTTAACCTTAGTGGGTGGATATTGGTTATTATTGTTTAATATATTAATTTGTTTGTGAAGATTAAGTTTTGTAGATCATATTATACTCCTATGAACCCAAATACATGACATGTGTAAGATCTGAAAATAGACATCCAATTACTATAATCCATTGGCTACTGGTGTAGATACTAATAGTAATTTAACACGAGATATCTGACTGTAAAAAAATGATACAAAAGTCCATGTGAATAAAATTACTCTGCACTATCTTGAAATTACAGTGAAAAAATCAATGTGGATAAAATTTCTCTGCACTATTTTGAAATTTGTAGCTGGGACTAAGATTTGGTGAATGGAAAGCCTAATAACTGCTTAGACTTTGTAAATAGGAAGGGTTAAAATTGACAGCTTCCTTATTTATTGAGGTACATATGGGAGATTTGTTGTAATTTAGTTTTAATGGATGTTTAACAAATTAACTTCATATTCAAAAATGAACTATTTATATTTGGCTGTGAAATTCACCTTGATTATCAAGGTACATATGTGATACCTGAGGCTGACTGTAAACAAAGACAGTAGTAACGAGTCTATGTGGGTAAAATTGTGCTGCCCTATTTTGAAACTTCTAGATTGGACTGATATATGGTACATGCAAAGCTTAATAATTGCATAGACTTATGAATACTGAATGGGAAAGGTTAAAGTTGACGGCCTCCTAAACTTTACTTATGCTATTACTGAAAGATACTGATAAATATAGAAAACACAGAAGATGAACAAGAATACAATACTGTTTGGCCAAAGTGGCCAATACTGTTTGCATAGAAAATACATATAGTGTCACTGTTTTGGATGGAATTGAGGGTATTTTTGAGGTTTGAAAGGAGGAAGAAAGAGAGAGGAGGGTTGGGAAAAATTCTGTGGAAAGCATTTCAGAGATTCCTAATTTGGTGAACGATTAGGAAAACTTGTACTGTCAATCAATTTGTTCACTTGCAAGGGTTTTTTCTGTGTATTTTGCTTATACTTAGTTCTTTTTACTGTTTTCCATCACTTTGGGAAAGGGATCTTAGCAACATTACGCTTCCTTTTTTGATTTCTTTTTCCTATAAAACTTTTTATCATTAAACAAAAATCCTATAAAACTTTATATCACTTTTTCTATAGGTTTTTCAATAAATATGTTCTGGTATAAGAAGACCTTCCTGCAATGTTGAAGAAACCAGGCTTGACCAACCAGAGTTTCTGGATCAGTTGAATTCAGCCCCTTCAACCAGAGTTATTCAATGCATCTCTGAAATGTTTTAGTCTGAATTGACCAACATAATAGTAGGTTGGATGTTTATCTGCTCCATAGGTTACTTCCATGGTCTTAAAATTGCAACTAGAAACACTGAATTTCTAGGGAAGACTTTTATCCTTGAACCCTTGCCCTCTTGTTTAGATAAAATGCAAGATTACTACTAAGCTAACTACATCCTTCTATAAGTGGTGTAATTTAATAAATTTAACACTAATATGCCAAAAAATGATAACAATTCTATATTTATATTCTAAAATGTATTGATAAATGCTTTATGAATTCATTATATTTGGATTTGTTCTGTTCAGTTACAATGGGATCACCATTTGGATTGTTGGTGCATGCTTCTTGAGGGGGACTCCCTTCTCTGTTATTTTCATTGGGGTTGTAAAGAGAGGAGACATTCTGTAAGAATACTGTTGTGTATTTTGGTGGTTGAGTGCTATGCTACCGAGGGTTACATTTGGCACCTTCTTAATTAATATATGCCTGATTTATTGCTTATTTTAATTTACCTATAAAAAGAGCAGTTACACCACTGCCTCATTCTTGTCATTGACATTGCAGGCACTCGTTGTTTTTATTCTTTATATCAGATGTACTGCAATTAATCCTGCAGATCCTGGCATTATGTCTAAATTTGATCCAAGTGTGGAACACAAGTTCAATTCAGACCATCATTTAACAATGAAGCACCAACCTTCAGAAAACGATGAAATTGTTGCAGGCGAACATTCATCTCCGTCATCAGCATCTAAAAGGTCTATGACTAATATGAGCAAGAAAAGCTCTATGGAATATCTTGACAGAGAAGATATCTCAGGGGATCATAATAAGAGAAGTTCATGTAATGTAATTGGTGGAATTCTCTGTATATTATTTGTGCATGAAGATTGCCGGAAACAGGAAGCAGCAGCTGAGCAGCAAGGTGGTGGTGAAGATGCTCTGTTCTGCACTTTGTGCAATGCTGAGGTATTGCATCATGACTCTGATTTGTATAGCATTGATATTTCATTTTTAAGTTCTTGCTGGTCCTGGTTAGTTTAATTGGTTTTATATCCTAATATTTTGTTTTTGTTACATCAACTTATGCCATGAAGCCCATTTATCATTTTTGAATTCTGGGATGCCATCATCTCTTGATAAAGGACTGATGGTCTAAGCAAGAACTTTAGATAATGTTGGACCTTAATCATATTTTGGCCTATAGCAACCATTACTACTATGATCACACTGTGACAATGCTGTTTGAAATCCTTTGATTTCATCATGTATTTCTAAAATTTCTTAGCACAATGAATTTGGTGCACATTTTCTTTTGGGTTAAAGTACAAATCTACCCAGAATGTTTCCAGCTAGGCACACCTCATTTCCTAAAGTATTTTCTGGTGCAATTGTACCTTAACATTTTTCAAAGTGATACAATGTGGCCCTGTCATTAGGTTTGACCTGCTTGATTGTTAGTTTGGCTGTTAATCCCAATTTTAGAGGCCACATGGCATATTTTTTAAAATTAAAAATAAGAAAGAAAACAGAACCAAACCCAGATGAAAATCATCAATGATTATGATTATTCTAACCTTCAAGCCCAAACTTCATCTTCTTTGAAGTTCATCAACTTCATCATCAATCTTCAAACCCAAACCCCAACTACTTTATCACCTCCAACGTAACCCAAACTTCATCATCTTTCTTTATCAATGTAACAACCCTTGGATAATTAACAGCAATCCCTCCAACCCCTTGAAATTAACAGAGTTTCAAGAAGAAATTAACAATCAAACAATGAGAGAAAATTATATCCAAATCACCCAAGCAGCTTTCAATTAGCAACCAAATTGTCCAGAAAAACTAGAACAAAAAATCATAGGGACGATGATGAATGCATTGGATAAGATTAACCCAAAAGCATAAAGCGATTAACCCAAATCGATAAACCTAGATTGCATGAACCCAGATAATTAACCACAATCCCTCCAACCCCTCAAAATTAACAGGGTTTCAATAAACCCAAATTTTTGCAAGCATAAAGGAGATAAGATTAACTTAGAAGCATAAGCCCAGATCGCATAGGGAAGAGATAGTGCATTTCAACCCAACTTGACAAACCTAGATCATGCTTAAGCTCACTCTTCCTTCACCTTCGTGCCCCTGCTGCTCTACAAGCTAAACTAAAAAAATCGACAACATTCTTCCACAAATCAACAAATTGAAAATCATGTGCTCAGATTTTCGTCAAAATCATTAAAATTGAACAATAAAACCAATAAATCCCAAAACAAGGAACGCCAAATTGAATTCATCTTGAAACCTCTTTGTTGCCACTGAACAACCCACCTGGGTTCCTCATTTGGGTAAGGGGTCACACCTTAGAAGAGAAGAGGAAGGAGAGGGTGAAGAAGAGCATCTGAATCCCTTCGACACATCTGGTGAAAGCCATCATCACTCGGAGAAGAGCAGGGGAAGGAGAGGGTGAAGATGATAGCAGCATGAAGAAGATGAGGAAGGGGGAGAGGGACTTGTTCGGTTGGAGAGGAGCAGAGGAAGAAGTGAGTGAAGAAGACATTGAGGAAAAGACATTGAGGAAAGGGGAAGGGGAACTAATT